GCAATGAACGCGTCTCTTGAGCTGGAATAAAAACAGAGCACGAAACGGCTAACCGCTACCGGTTCTCAGAAACCCTTTCTAACCGATTTGGTTTTGTCAATTAACCGGGAAATTTGAGCTGCTAATTAAGTTTTTAACTCATTTGATCCCAAATTTAGATCGATACAGTATACCATTTCCTTTTTTGTTTGTTTACAAATAAACCGCCAATAAAATTGGTTTGGTTTCTCTCTGGTACAAAAATGGTTTCGGTTCTCTTCATTAGCTCTCAATGGATGTTCTCTTCTTGGAGGAGATTCATTGCAGGTGAATGTTCTAACCAAATCCACCTACTCTTTTTAGCATTATGAATATAGTAAGTAGGATAATATCTTTACTTGTGTCACACGTACTCAAACACAAAATCCGGATCTACTTTAATAGGATAATCTCCAACTGTTCTAGAAACTATACCACAGTGGTTTTGCATGATTCCTCAAGTAAGCTTGTTTATGAACACCAATACCAATGAAGAGAAAATGACTTGTAAAACTCTACAGACTTGAGAAAGTTTTTTTCCCTTTGCAGGTTCAATCGGAAGAAGGATATCGGTCAGCGGTTTGTTTCAGATCATCGAGCTGTGTGAGAACATATTCAAGCTTCTGGAAGCAGATCTCATTAGCTATTCTTGCACTGTAATCGCACTTCTCAAAGGGACGGTACTCGCACGCACTTTTGATCTCTTCCCTCAGTGTCCCTTGAATATCCTGCAAGTTCCACAAGAAGCATTATGATTAACAAGACCAAAAACCTGAAATTAGCCTCCCAGCAAAAAACCTCATCTATTTGTTCACGATTATGATCCCTAATCTAGATTACTGTCAAATGAGAGAGTGCATATGTTCTCTGATCAGTGAGTTTCTTAAAAACACTTGAACTCAAATGAACTTAGAAGATATCAACATCCACCATTCAAAAACCTTAAGGCCAAGACCCAAGGATATATGTCAAATCCTAAGAAGCAGAAAAGGAAGACATAGGTTTAGCGAAGGCGAGATTTTGATACATGAAACCAAATCTTCAACATGTTCATGAATCACGCAACGGGATGCAACACCCATCTTGAAACTTGATAATTTTACTTAACTAAACATGGAACCAATCAAAACTCCAAACAAATCCCTTTATGTTGATCAGAAAACGTATCAAACCCTAATCTACACTTGCGCGAAACAAGCCCAAGCGTTATTTGATCAGCTAGGTTCATAAAACACTAGCTGATCAAATAACGAGACCAAATGCAAGCCTATAAGTATCCACCATTCATAGACCTTAAACCCAAGACTCAAGAAGAAATGCCAAAAACCCCAAAAATGTAGTGAAAGAGGGACTGAGTAAGCAACACTAATCAGTTTCAAATAACATTCTTCAACCAATCCACTAATTCATAGACATCAAGCTCAAGAGATTTAACGCGAAATGGCAAATTTAAAAGTGAACAAGAGATTGAGTAGGCAAAAACCTTCATCGATTGCATAAACTCTCGGCAATGACTGTTGACGAACTCTTTCTTAGGCCCAGAAGGGCTCGCGAGTTCTTCCATCACTCCACCTGCTAATTCCAAAACCCTAACTACTCGCTGCGCCCAGAAAACAAAAAAACGCATACAGATTCACATCAAATAACTCCATCATCGAATCTACGGAGAAAAAAAAAGCGAATCTTCTGCAAGTCTTACCCTCTCGACATTCTGGAGTCGCTGCAACGAAGTATTCTGCGTCTGCGGATCCATCAGACGATTTCTCTAAAGCACAAAGAGTAAACGAAACTGAGTTACATCACAATATCGTCAAATCCACTCAATTACATACACTAAATAGGCAAATCGGAGAACCTGAATCGCGCACGGCGAATTTGACGGCGAGAGGGAGATCGGCGACGGAGAAGTGGATCGACGAGACTGGAGAAAAGCAAAGAAAATAAGAGAATTTAATTGAAGTAAAACGGCACGAATGTTACTTCAAGAGTCCTGGAACAGCGCGAAGTTAGCTGGTTGAATTACGAAAACACCCCTTCGTTCAGATAAAATCTTTGTGATTCTCTTTTGTAACGGATAAAATAACGGAAATAAATACCAAAACAAGAAAGAGCTGTGATAACTCTTTCGTAGCTTCTTCTTCCTCTGTAACTACCAATGGCTAACTTCATAGACCTAAACACTCTCACAAACACCTTACCGGCGGTTCCGAAACTACCCGGGAGTCGAAAAACCGAAAAATCAAGCTCCTTTGCTCTCAAGAAAACCGGAGAATTTCAAGAACCGGATTCGGTACAGATCACAAGACGGATGACATTGGGATTTACCGTTTCGGTAGGTCTAACCGGTGTTTTCGGCGAAAACAATGTTTCTTTGGCACAAGACAATAATGGCTTTTGGATCGATGGTCCTCTTCCAATTCCCCCTATCTACAACAGTAAGCACCATTTTGTACCAAACTCTTGATTCTTAGTTGAGAATTTCATACCTTTGTCTCGGTTCTTGATTGTTTTTTGGTTTGGTTACAACACCGGAAACTACTCATTCAATGTCCGGTTTTGTTTCTTCTCTGATTCATGTGTGTGTACAGAAATCACAAACGAGCAGACAGGAACAAGAACGTTCTTGAAGAAAGGAGTGTATATAGCTGATATTGGACCGAAAGGGAGAATGTACAGAGTTAAAAAGAATGCTTTTGATTTGTTAGCAATGGAGGATTTGATCGGACCAGACACTTTAAACTATGTTAAAAAGTACTTGAGGCTTAAATCCACGATCTTGTTCTTCGATTTCGACAATCTCATCTCTGTTGCTCCCACTGAAGACAAAAAATCTCTCACTGATTTAGCAAACAGATTGTTCGACAACTTTGAAAAGGTGACATTACTAATTAACACCGATCTTAATCTGGTTTATTCAAACCGAAGAGAGTGTTGTTTCTACTTTCTATTGTAACAAATACTTTGTTTTTTTTCTTTCCTGACACAGCTTGAAGATGCAGCAAAGACGAAGAACTTAGGAGAGACTGAGTCGTGTTATAAAGATACGAAGTTTCTTCTCCAAGAGGTTATGACTAGAATGGCATGAAGCCGGTTTGGTTTTCACCGGTTTAGTTGCTATTGAAGATCATTCATGGTTGATAACTCTATGGTCATGAAATGTAATATACTGCATAAGCCAACCAAAAACAAAAACTTGAAAGCTAATAAAAAAAAAATGTATTACAGACCTATATATCAATTGGATTTTGATGTGAGAATCACATAAACCGACTAATTTCTTGCTTAAATCTTACTTGTGTATCAAGGTTTTTATTGGAT